CAGATAGCCCTCGTGTAGCTTTGCGCGAAATTCAAAAACAAACAATCAATGGTCGAGGTATTTACCAATGTCGGTGGGTTTATTAATTCCTGTGATTTCTTTAGTAACCATCACGCCTAAAAATGGGTGTTTGTTATATCCTATTTGTATTGAAAATTGTATCGTTGGATAGTTTTTTTGAGGCGGTTCATTAAATCTGGAATTTGGTCCGGTGTATACCGTATAACGAATGTATAGTCATCATGTCCGAGTGAAATCTTGGGTCATAAAATCGACTGCTTCGAGAGAGTTTTCTTCAAAATGTTTCACGTAGAAGTTAGAGAACTGGTGATTGAGGTGAGCCCTAGATAAGCCTTCTTGTTGTTTCAAGTAAGACCCAGGATTTGGGATGCCTCAGCTTAAAAACATTCAAATAGAATATTTAACTTATTCAAAACCCAAGGGATCAACAACTTGAACGAATGGACAGTATACTTTTCTTTATAAGAAAAAGACTGGATCTTTCCACTAAATAGTCCTTCTCCAGGCTTTCCTGAAAACGACCGAATTGTTGGAACATAAATAAGTTAGTATACAGTAGTAATAAAAAAAATAGAAACTAATTAGTAACTAGATTATGATGTTTGTATGGGCCATTAACCATAAAACAATATATTAATAAAGCTTGTACTGTGTAATATGAGGTATTAAGTGTGAAAAACGTTTACAACAACCGATTTATTTTACTTGCACGACTATTTAAAATTATTTTCTAAAGAACAGCGCCCTCTATCTCTTTCTATGAAAATTAATTACTGATCGAGGTTACGGAACGTCTTATAAATCTGAAATTTTGATTTTACTCGGGCAATATATTGTAACAAAATAATTACAATCAAATATTAAGCCTGTTTATACTGGCTTATTAGGAGATACAATTCATATTTTAGTGAACAAATTCTCTGTTAAATTTACTTTCTAAAGTTATTATAAGTTAGTACACTTACTAAACAATCTAAAAGTGCTTAAACTTTAATAATATTACAACTTCATGAGTTACGAAACTCGTTGACTAGTTCCATAGAAAAAGACCATTCACATACTACTGTTACAACACAAGATAAACTACGTGAAACTGAAAGTCTCTACAAGCCGTATTTCCTAATGTTATACAGTGGCACAGCGATATGTCTGCGGACTTACAACAATAGAATCCGGGTTTCGATACCCGTGGTGAGCAGAGCACAGATAGCCCATTGTGTAGCTTTGTGCTTAATTACAAAACAAACCTAATGTTATTTTTCACCTCTACCGATTTTGCTTTATTAACTGCTGTATGTGGATTTCGACTGTCTTTAATAAGAGTTTTTGGAACTGCCTTTTTTTTTATATGTAATTAAAAATGTAATCAAGTATTCTTAGCGTCGGTAATATGATTATAAATCGATTGTTATTAACCAACGTAGGGGGTTCAGCGTAGTTAATGATACACATTACACACGATTACTGATTACAACCCCCCTCCATACCACCAGAAAATTGTAACTTATGACCAACAATAAATATAAGCAGTTGATTATTAACTTGCATCTTAACTTTTCTTTAGCCCTCAGTGAACTTCCCGCTTTTCTTGTGAAGGATGGAGGTTTGAACTCTGGTTTTATGTTAGCCCATTGTACAGCTGCAGCTCTTGGTAAGTTCAGGTTTGGTGTTTCAAATATATCCATAAACTGTCGTTAACGCTAACAAAAGTTTACAGAGGGTTTTGCATTATTATTATTATTGTTGTTGATATTATTAGTCTGTATTTTAAAACACATTTTAATCTTCCGCCCCCCCCCCACCACTTACAGTAATTTTTTATTAATAGAATATTCAAAAATACCAGGATGTAGATTTTCAAACCTAAAAAAAAAAAAAAAAATAATGGAGTGTGCCTATACAACCGACTTTCTAAGGGCGCTCGACTAGCAATATTCGGGTTTCGAGATCGAAACACGTCGCCAAGCATGCTCGACCCTTTCAGTCATGAGTGTTATAGTATGACGGCCAATCCCGCTATTCGTTGGTAGAGAGTAGCTTAAGAGTTGGCGGTGGGTGATGTTGACTAACATCACTGCTTGTTTGTTGATCTAAGAACATAATTTACATACGTTCGTACTGGTTGCAGTTTTTCATTAGCAGGATCACTTTTCTGTACGTTAAACATTTGTAAATGTGTATTAAGTGGCTATTTGATAAGGCATTAAACGTTCTTGAAGACATTCTCCTTTTGGCAATTTAAGTAACTACAATATTTACCCTGGAAATTTTAACTTGTGCAGGCGAAGTAATATGCAGCGTTGTTCATGGGAAAAACTGTAGGGACGTAGACAATTCATCCTGAAAAAATCTTGATGATATATACAGTATGCTTGGTGTTTATTGTACGTATATTGCCCAAATAATACTGAATGAAAAAACAATGTGTTCAACGTATCAACCAATCTTTACTTAAACTCTTAAGTTCTTATTAATTATTGTAGCTTCAAGGGTATTTTAGGCAGAGTAAACATGGTAGTTTTATCTTGACTGAATTGCTTCCGCTGTTTTCTAGAGCAACCTATTAAAGCTACCGATTACTATTATAGTTCCACCCCCACACCCGTTAACTATGTAATTTCTTGACCCGCACTAGCATCAAGAAGAAAAACTTGCTGGTTGGCCAATTTTTCTGAAAAATCAGCAAGTTAATTGGAAAAAAGTTTCAAAATAAAATTAACGAAGTGTTTAAAAATTGTTTAATTCTGATATTTTCATTTATTTTTGTACTAACCCCAACCTCCGCCCTTAAAATTAATAGTTTCTAAAGTAGAACTAGAAGAATAACAATAAAACCACCCTACAAATTCTACAATAGATTACTCCCAAACTCCACCCTTTTCTAAAAAGATGACAAAAGTATTCAATAAAGTATAAAAAGATCTTAAATTAAATACATACTCTACCTCAACTTTCTTTGTAGTTCATATTCTTCTTAGTTATTCAAGTATAGCATGGAATAGCCCAGCTACTTGAAATTAGTCTTTCCAGTCCCTGCTATACAGAATACATTTTAATTTTAGTATTAACTAATTAGAGGTAGCTAACTACCTCTAGTGTCAGAAAAGGTATTTTCCTTATCGAAAATTAATTAATTAATTTTCATATTTATTGTAAAACAGTGCAATAAATTCTTAATTGCCAGTATTTATAACCATTATTTTTTAGTTTATTTATCTATAAAAGAATTACTATTGTTACAAACAGTTAAATCCTGTCTCCTCCGGTTACATGTCATTGCTTTTGTTTATACAATGAATTTCTTTATATGGTGTAACTAACCAACCAACCAATAAACTGATTCCACAGTAGTTCGACACTTGGAATGTATTGGTTTAGAGAGACGGGTTGTACACAGCATAATAAAATTAAGTGAACATATTTACATAAAGCAGAAAAATGTTATTATTGGTTTGTGATTACTAAATATTTGCATGTGAATGTCTTTTTCAAAAATATCATTTAATCTCTCAATATATCGTTGGACAGCAAAAATTTTTGTCTGTTTAACAAAAGTGAAACGCAACATCTTTAATGTACGTAGTTAAATATTTTTTACATGTGCATAAACCGTACAAGTCAAAATTTAAAAGGTTAATATTCATTTATGTTCTACTTGGCAGTGAGAAACCAGTAAATCAAAACTGAACACTTAAATATTACGAGGTGCGAACCATGAGCCCTCGGATTCAGACTCCAGGCATGCTAATCACGAGACAAAGGCCGGGTCAGGACAAACTGAAAACTAACATTTTTATTCACTATTCAGCCAGAAGCATTTAATAATTTCTCTTTCATGATAGAAATATCATATACATTCCATTAAATAAGGAGACCTCCATTATTTATAAGAAACAACTATCAGCTTGTACTAAAATACAAGTATGTTAAGAGATCTTTCAGCATTGTCCAAAGTAACTTACGAAAACTCGTGTTCTATTGAATCTTCATTGCTAGTTTAATTAAGTACGAGTCTTTCAAATAGTTTAAATCTTGTAGAAGTTGTTTCGCCAGTGGTGTTTGTGTTCTACTTCACAGTACTTTTCTTACCAAGATGCATATTGTCATTCTCACAGTAGAGTTTAGATTATGTGTCTTATATGAGTGATGCTACTTTGTTTTGGTTGTTTTTTTTATTAGATGTTTAGATTTAAGAATTTTACACATAATTGTGATGGTGTTATGTTACTCTTAATATAAAACATGGGGCATAAGAGTTGTGTTACTTACAGATATGCGTATCCATCCAATGTGGATATCTTAGTAGTATATTCCAGAAACATTTAATCTTTACACATAGATCGTATTATCCACGTTACTGGACAGCATACATCAAGAAGATGACTCATTTTCCCCACTGTGGCTCAGTTCTTAGTAAGGAATAGGTTGAATTTCAGCTTGAATCATATTCTTAACAGTTGTATTAATACTTGCCCAAAACGGCTAAATATCTAGACGAATAAATTAAACTCGTTTGCAAGAAACGTGGCAACTTTAGGGATCTGCCTTTTCGACAGCCATCCTAAACGTCTCAAAATGGTTTAATTGGATTCAGATCGGTACTCGGGGCTGGCGAAGACAGACGCTGGACATTAGTTGTTTTAAACCATGTTGGAGCTCTTGCTAGTAAAGACGGATTCTGGATTTATTGTAAATGGTAGATACGATTTTTAGTCTATGCTGCAGTTTTAGTGTTACAGGATAAGGCATTTAGTTCCCTTAACTGTTACAATAGATCAAATCCCAATCATCCTTAACAGGCCTACACCATCTTAAACTAGTATCACTTATTGATAAGATTACATAATTGGACGAATTGACTTCTGAATTACATAACATCGACCATATGGCACTAATTATTTTGACACTGATTTTGATGGAGTCATAGTATTAAGTGTTATTCAGTGTGAACAGTGACACTAATTTGATACGTGGAATTCTTGATGGCTTATTCTAAAATTCAATAACAGTTATGACATTTAGACTATATCAGTGGTAACCACTGACCATTGTACTTTGCGCAGCACTGGATCTAGAGATTCAGTGACGAGTGTAGTTAATAAAAACAAATATTAGACTCGCAAATGGGCTTTTAGAAGTCTAAAATAATATTCCCTAAAAACTATCTGTAATGGTTTAAGTTGATACATTGACGTAACTTATGAACAAACACACTATTCTTTCAAATTATAAAAGCTAATTAATATCATTCAATCATCAAATACAAACTAAGGAACTAAATTCTCACAGAACAATTATGGCGTTTGAGACAATCTGGATATTTATACTTGGACGATGTATAACATAACCTAATAACAATTCGACTGTTTGAAGAGTGGCCATTTATGTGATAATGATTTATTTTTCTACAATGACAGTATCTGAGAACAAGGTACTTTGCCACCCAGCTTCCGTTGACTCTCTCTCGACCAGTGCTGGAACTGAAGACCATGTGTCTATGGGCGGATTTGCCGCCAGAAAGGCTCTGCAAGTGGTTGAAAATGTGGAACGAGTAATTGCCATTGAACTTCTGGCAGCTTGTCAAGCCATCGAATTCCTACGGCCATTGAAGACAACAAAACCTTTGGAAGCCGTATACCATCTCGTAAGGTCATTGGTCAAGTAAGTAAAATACATTTTTTTTTCAGCTAATGACCTTCCAGTCCTCACGTATCTCAGCTGACATCAGTTGAAAGATCTTGTGTTGTTTGCTTGGCAGTTTTTGTACACTTACGTATTAATTTTGTGTCGGTTTTCATGAGCATTTTGTTTTGGATACATTGCTGGAAATTTCTAATTAAAAAGATGAGGGCTAAAGAATGAGCTTATAATATACATTAGAATAGTTTTCAGTTATTTTTTAAAATCTCAATTGATAAAACTTATTTGAAATTATACTTTAGCGCATTTTTCTTTCTTTACAATTTCTAATCGGTCTTAATACAGCTATTGGTGTACGTTCCTCGTCGAATTTGGAATGCTTTTTCTACCAGTGTTTCTAATGAAGTGTGATATGGTTGTTTTCTACATCGATAGTATTGCTGTCGGTTTCTAATGAAGTGTGATATGGTTGTTTCCTACATCGATAGTATTGCTGCCAGTATTGCTGTCGGTTTCTAATGAAGTGTGATATGGTTGTTTCCTACATCGATAGTATTGCTGTCGGTTTCTAATGAAGTGTGATATGGTTGTTTCCTACATCGATAGTATTGCTGTCGGTTTCTAATGAAGTGTGATATGGTTGTTTCCTACATCGATAGTATTGCTGCCAGTATTGCTGTCGGTTTCTAATGAAGTGTGATATGGTTGTTTCCTACATCGATAGTATTGCTGTCGGTTTCTAATGAAGTGTGATATGGTTGTTTCCTACATCGATAGTATTGCTACCAGTATTGCTGTTGTTTCGAAGTTATAATCAACTTTGAGTTTGGGTTTTGTTGCTATTTATTTATAATTATAGTATTTAAGTAATTCATAAGATCCTTGTTACTTTAATATTTCTCACCTTTTATTGCTGTTTACATTTAATTAGAAACACTGTTAGAATATCTATTCTTCTGTAATGTTCTAATCCATTTTGATATGTTTTGGTTCTGTTCGAACCTTCAAAGCTTGCTGTGAGCAAATAGAAAAACAAAGGCTACAAATATAGTTTCTGGCAAGTGTTTGTCGCCGAGAGCTTTAATTAGTTGGGAAGTGTTAACTTATGTTCGCTTACTGGTTTAGAAGAAACCACTGGTACAGAGAAATGATCATTTGTATAAGGTTGGTACTTAGTTTTACTTGCCAAAGGGTAGTAGTAGGATGATTGATGCTCTATGTGTATATTCAGACTACATCGCATGTATGGATCTTATTTAAGTGCATTTTCTTACCTTGGTAACGACAAATATTTGTACATTATGCTTACATGTTGTAGCTACATCATTCTGGTGCAACTACTACAGCTTTAAAGTTGAATGAAGCATGGTTTGAAATAACTTTCCTTATGTTTGTCACTAAAATGAAATTTCGAAAATACTGTCTGGTTTCGTTTCACTACCCATTAAAAACAGAATCGACGTTAAGTCTTCCGTTCGTAAGACCAGTGTAATACATGTTTTAAGTTCTCCAACAAGATGAATGTGCCGCGAACATAATGTTTTCGGATTTTTCAGACCTTGGGACAAAGATCGTTTCATGGCCCCTGATATCGATGCTATCACCGATTTACTTTGCCGGAATAAAGTGTGGGATGAAACAAAGAGTTCTATTGACCAGTACTACATTGAAACTACTACGGACTCCAGGCCTTCCTCTCCTACAACAAGCCGCTCCATCTCTCACAAGAGGCGACGGATAGACACTAATAACAATGTTTAGTTATTTGAGGATCCCAACTGTGGGACTAGCTCCAACTTGCCGATACAGCTTGATAAACATTGGACCAGAAATAGCTAAACTGTTTCAATGTTCGTGAACAAATGTTGGATTGTTCTTCTGCAGTGTGGATTACATATTGTAAAATATGTCTTATTTTCGATTAATATATCGCCAGACTGTCTCTCATATTATAAAATCTTTTCTACATGCTTCCTTTTATACAACACTCGCTTTTCAAGAACTCCAAGATCATCTTCGACCACTACTGTATATTCGTACTTGTTTGTTGTTTGTTAAAACTTCAATATGAAATAATTACAAGTTAGTATCCACATATTACAATTAAATACAATAATATCTGTTACCACACACCATATTAAGTGCAATGTAGTATCCAGATGACATAGAACACTAACATGATATCCAGGCATTATACTAAATTTTATATAAGAAAATCTTTTAAATTAAACAGAAGGTCCAAACTTATGTAAGCATATTCATAGCTTCACAACCTAAAAATCAGAACAGTCTTAGATTATCAGGACCAGCTATCTGGACAGTATGGTTTGTAGCACGTCACGTATGTATGATAGTTAGTTTTATATGCTTACTAACCTAAACTATTTAGTACCAGTTGACTAACATGAAGAGTCGGTGTTAGTTCCAATATGTAGACCTAATGTAAACAAACTTTTCAGAATTGACGTCATGTTGTTTGCCAACACTTCACCAAACTGAGAAGTGTATATTGATTTTTTAAAATATTCTTTTACATGCATCGTATATATGAAATCACCACAAGCTCTCAAAACGCCAGTAATAAAAAATCTAACTTAGATCTTTGTAATGAAATGTTGCCTCCAGCTTGCTTAATTTCTATACATGTAACTCTTAACGTTCCGGCCCGGCATGGCCAAGTGGATAGGGCGCTCGACTCGCAGTCTGAGGGTCGCGGGTTCGAATCCCCGTCACACCAAACATGCTTGCCGTTTCAGCCGTGGGGGCGTTATAATGTGACGGTCAATCCCACTATTCGTTGGTAAAGAAGTAGTCCAAGAGTTGGCGGTGGGTGGTGATGACTAGCTGCCTTCCCTCTAGTCTTACACTGCTAAATTAGGGACGGCTAGCGCAGATAGCCCTCGTGTAGCTTTGCGCGAAATTCAAAAGAAACAAACTAATTTAATGTTCCACAGGTACTGTTGGGATAAATCAATTCATTAAATATTTGTACAGGTACTATAATACTACAAGTGATCTTCCTGGTAAACACACGAAATACTAAATACATGAATAAGATTAACTTTGAAGTAAGTACAGGATAAAGATCTGGGTAAATCCGAAACTAACCAATTAAATAAAAAGTATTTTAAAATGCATCTAGATTACATGGTCTTTTTTTACTTGTTCAACGCCAAAATATGGTAGTCATCTAAAAAGAACTATCAGCATGGGAAATATTACCATAAGTATGAGATGGAAACTTGCAAGTTGTGCTGTAGAAATAGGCCGAGGTTAGTAAAGTTGGGTAGGGGGGGGGAGGTTCCCTCGTCGGCCTCCCGGTTACGCGGTCTGTCTATTGGTTTCCTCCGTTGTCGTTTACG